TATGGATTCCTCTTTCAAACTTACCAGGAGAATTACTAAGGCAGTAACTGAAGAGATTTGTAAGAAAACCTAAACCCCAGGATTAGTCAGCTCCACTATAACTAGTCATAAGAGAGACTAACAGTGGCAGATCAGAGAAGAAATGGCTCACTGATAGCCTTAAGTAAATGAAACAGCTAGAACTGGGCTGTAGTTCCCCCTCCCATTATGTAATAATGAAATGCCTATGGATGAGCAAATCAGCAGGTATGTCACTATCTTGAGTAAATGAGGACCTGGCTGTTCCTGATTCAGTCTGCCTAAAGAAAATGAGGCAATAGCATAAGCAGTCCATATGAAGTCATTAAATAATAATAGCTGGTATGCTCCTTAATGAAATTGGTTTCTCAGGCTGAAACCCTAAGAGCAAGAACTGGGATATTAATTGGAGAAAATAGGGTTCTTGCCCTCCATGACTTAATCAGGCAACCTGACTCAGATCTACAAGAATGTGGACATTTACCCCCCAAATTAGTGATGTTCTCAATGGTTGGGGATGTGAAGGTGACTCCTGCATTGTATGTTACTAGAGAACTCTGAGATGAATTTCTGATTGGAAATGAATAGGTAGAGACTTTCATCAAGTACTGGATTATTACTGTCTTGTGGTTGCAAGTACTGAAACATATACCACTGGGGTATGTGAGAGGGGAAACAAGTTTTAATGCAAAACAAAACTGTAAGCTTTCAACTGTTAATACTTTACCAAAAGTAATCTAAAATCTGATATTTTGTGTGGGATGGCCCAGAGTGATTACCAGGGATGCAAGGGTTAAATTGTCAATGTTCAGGCGGTTTCCTTTTGAAGAATAGACTTTAGCCTCCTGAGAGTATTCTTTCATACAAAGGCAAACCAGATAGCATCACTTCTGATAAATGTAACATACAGCCTACTGTACTGTAAGAGGATATTCCAGAAATTGACCCTGGCAGTGTGCCTGGAAGGGTTTCTGAGAAAGTGCATAGCAGAATCATTCTAAACACTGATGTCTTTTTTCTTTTAACTGCACTGCAGCCACAAGTTGGAGACAGTAGTTTAGTTTATATGTACCGGGCACCAAATTTCAAAACTACTGTATGTGGAGGAGCAACTATGCTGCCTACCGAGGGACCACAGCTTTAGACAGCTGGGCCTTGAACTAGCACTGATCTTTCCATTAGCTTTACAATTACCTTTACCTGCCACTGATGAAATGCAGCATGCCCTTCAGTTTCAGGCTGGCCTTGCAATTAACAAGTAAGTTGATCAACAGGTAGTTGCTTAAGATGTATAATTTACAAGTCTCTTGCAGTGTGCAAGTTCTGAATGGTTGCACCTGCCAATAAAAATGCAAGCTATTTCTGAAAAAGCCTTTCGCTTTGGAGAGGAAAAGAAAACAGGCACTCTTCTACTGTAACAGTACGCCCATACTGTGAGTTGCAGTGGTTCTGATGTGTGTAATTCCTACTTTACTAGTCCAGTTGCATCCATCCTGGTTCACTTTACCCAGCTAGTCTAACAGTAGGGGTGAGGAGAACCTATTTTTCCCCCCAGAGTGGAAATATTAAAACTCTATTTTATTAAGTGTTTGGGCCTCAAACTAAAGACTGCATCTAAATGCATTTTTAAAATGAAAGTAATGCAGAGAATAGGAAGAGAGATTAACACTTATTCATTTATTTCTCCTCTTTCCTTTTTTCATTATTCATGCTAGAAATTTACTTAATAGTAATATTTTCCATCTATGGTAAAGAGACTGCTACTGTTCAAGTAATAGATTTCAGTTTAAGAAAAGTCATCCCCCTTCTTGCCCACATTTTACCCTGCACAAAAAGAGCCCTAGGGATTCAGTCTAAAAACAGATACCTGATCACTTAAAAAAAAAATTAAGTCTGCTTAGATGAAATTATTCCCTTCTAAAGTTGCTAGCATGCAAAGAATTCCACAACCCTAAATGAGGATAATGCTAGATGTTAGTGAAATAAGTTTTTTCCCTGGTGGTGTTATGCATCAGCCTCTGTTGAGGTATCCCTCTGCAAGCCACTTGTACTGTATATGCTGCACTGCTTAGGTACAATGAACCATATACTCCATTCCACTGCAGAAAGGGGAGCAAAAATGAGTAAGATCATGCAGAAATTAAGGTGGTGGGTTTGGAAGAGAAAAGCCACTGTGTTTTCAGTTGCTAGCTGCCCTTTGCCTGTCCATGTAGTTGACAAGTCACCCTATTTCCCCCTCCTTCCCTCAGCACTTATTTGCCTAAACTATGTTAATACCGTGCAGAGCGGTATTAGCTACTCACCCTACACTCTGAATCCCAGCTACTGAGGAAGCAGGGAGACCTGTAAACCTCAAGGAAGCTTGAGTGGAGACTGACTAATCCATACTGCAAGCAGATAGCAGACACATAAGCACAGGTCAGTGAGATTCTATAATCTGTTTCCATACATACCAAAAGTCCACTCTACACACTTTGACTACACCACATAATTCAATACACAGCAGAGACCAGACTAGGGGGAGCAAAGGCACAAGCTAAAACTATCAAAACACAAGTACTTAATGTTTGGCACCTAAATAAGTGGGGTGATGTGTGAAAGTGCTGAGCACCAGTAATGAAAATGGGAGTTAGAGGGGCCCAACAAGTCAGATCCCTTTTGGGTGGGGGAGGAGACTTTAATCACCCTTATTTGACAACTTTGGCCACCGTAGTTTAACTCTCTTCCCCTTTTATATGTGGAAAGGGCCTAGAAGACCAAGTAAAGCAGAAATTTTAACCAAGAATTCCATTATTGGGTGGATTGATATTAGGCTGCCATTACATGCTTTCAGCTACAATAAGAAACTATTGCATATGCTGCATGAAGTGATCTTTCATACACTAGTGCTATTTTGAGTTAACATTAAAATGTGAAACAAGGTACCAAGCTTGATGTCTCTGGAAAGAATCAGGGTTACATTACTTCAGAAAAAAACAGTCAAACAAAACTTTATTACAGAACTGCACTTGGGATAAAGCATCAGATGATATGACCAAATTGATGGCATTTGAGGGTTTTGTTTAGGGTTGGTTTTTTTTTTTTTTTTTTTTTTAATGGAAGAGAGCTGGGGAAGAGAGAGAAAACATACCTATCTAGGTTGTACTTTCTATCTCTATAGGTAGGGACCCATGTAATTCAACACCATTGAATTCATCCCTTGCCAGAGCTGTGTTCTAGAATCTAAGCTTTAATTTAAAATAAATAAAATCCATCCCTCATGTTTGAGGATGTAACCCTGAAATGATGCAGCTTGTGTGCAATGCTGCAGTGTTGTCTTCCTGACTTCAGAAAGAAGAGCACACTCCTCCATCTCAAAGAGACTTAACTCTGAAACCTAAAATGATGAGTTAAAGAGATTAAGTATCAGTATTAAAATATGTAATCAACACTATCCAACTAATGAGCTTTTCCTGTAAGTCCAAGATCCCTTCTGTACACTCACCAAGTGCCAAAACCTCTAGTTTGTCCCGCACACTTTAAATGTTACCCTTTTTCAGTACCAAATTCTGCACATCAAGAACTAGAAATATGGGACTGGTCTAAAATAAATTGAACATAAAACATTCAGGGCTCCTGTACTGCTTGTGTTATTAATCTCATATTTAATGAAAAACTTGTTGCTGCAAAAATGACACCAGACTGCCTGAGAACACTGCTACAGAAGATACGTCCATCTTGCCACAGAATACAGTGGACTTGTCCAGGGGCTTGCCTTGGCATATTGTTAACCTACATATAAATTATGACATTTCAGTTACCAAAGAAAGATACACCAAGACTTCTGGCCACATACAGCCCATAATTCTGAAATTTCATTCTTTTGGTTGTTTTGTTTTAACCCAATTATCTAGCCCATTAAGGATTAGAACATCACATTTGCAAAATAGCCTCCAGGAAAATTACAGCACCAAGTCAAAGGTTTGTTTTTGTTTTTAAGTTAAAAAAAAGAGATGGGTGGCAGAGTGAGGGTTATACTAACTTTCAGCTCACTGAAATGCAAATAGAAATATTAAAAGTCTCCGAACTCAGGCTGAATAACAGGGATGCTAGTACACAACCACCCTTACACCAACACAGTCTAGGACGCTGAAGTATCTAACAAGATTACTCACCCAATTATTTAAAAAACAAACCAACCAGCAACATTACTAAGAATAGCTCACTAAATATACAAAATTACATTATCTAGGTACAGTTTATTGCAAAATCAGGAAGGAGACAGCAAACTAGAAGTCTGAGTCTTTCCTTTCAGATTTTTATCACCTATTCACATTTCAGTCACTCACACATGCAGATGTGTGTATACATGCGTGTGCGCACACACACACACACGTATACACACCCTGTACACACTATTTCTGAAACATCTGAGCGTTCCCACACTCTTACAGGAAACCACACCTTATAACATTTCCATTTAAAAAGATAAATTGAGGTCATTTATCACAGGACTATAAAATCCTCCTAGAACACTTGAGGAAACAGTTAAATTTTGGGATTTGGCTTTCCAAAAACCATGCATAAAAGGAAAGCGTATAATTTCAATAGCTCTAAGACTACTTTTAAATTTAACAAATTACTCTTCAGGAGTCTGTACAGAGTTATTAAAGTTAATGGAATTGTAAAAGTAGCCTAATGAATGCCTGCAGTAGCTATCTCAAATAAAAACTGTTGTACTATAGTAAACGCTGTTGATGGGCACCAAATCTCTAAATTTAAACAGATCTAACAATTGTTTGCTTCTGGATTAACATTAAATTCTAAAGTTACATTAAAAAAACAATTGTAAATTCTTTTGAGCTGCTAGAGTTTCATGAAAAAAATCCCTTTCAAATTTTCAATAAATATATCAACATTAAAAATCTAGTTAAGACATGCAAGACAATTTACATAACCAATAACAATTCAAATTTTATAATAAAGGCAACTTGCATTCAAAATGAACTTTACCCTTATTTTATTCAAAGGGTAAACATGAATTAAACTCAGCTGTTTACTTGAATTACAAAAGTAACATGATTCAATATGAAAATAAGAAACTGTCTACAAATCTCTGACAGTAATAAATTGCAATATACAATGCATACAGGAGTTATACAGAGCAACAAACTCTTGTACAAAACAAAAATACTTTAATACCCTTAAAATCCAATTTTTTTTAAAATTCATGAAAAAAGATTTGAGTCAGAATTCACACCTCCATTAGTCAAGCCTCAGGTAGCTACATTACAGCTATTTAATGTACAAAGAGACAACTCTCTCCTCTGTCATTTTAAACTAATGTCTCTTCTCACAAGTTGTACAGCTTTCTTGTCTCTCTCTTCCATTCCCAAATCCAAAGCCTTCTTCAAATCATGAGAACTGAATTTGCTGAACACCAGAGATCTAGAGAGACCGGGGGGGGGGAGGAGGGAGGAAGAACGTAAGTTTAGTTTCAAGTTTCCATCCTCGAAAGATGTATCACATTTAGTAATCTTGTATGGTCGTAGTGTCAGAAAGGCATGAGAAATACAAGGTCTAAATACAAGTTATTCTCATCTCTTTCAGACTGGGGGGTGTTGAAATAGGGCTTTCAATTTTAGCGACAGAAGGAAGAGAGTGGATGAGAGGATACTGTACCTGTTGATAAGATGTTGTATAAACCATAACATTTTGCTGTTGGCCATCTGTAGTTATTAAACCTGCTGGCAACTGGTTAGCTAAAAGAAAGAGCATTTTAGTTAAGGAAGTTAGACAAAACTGCAGGAGACTTAGAACCTTGTTTAATGTATATATTATCATTCACAACAGAAAGTTCAGTTATGGTCAGAGGGACTATGGCCTCATCATATCTACTCCTGGAGTACTATAAACTCACATCAGTTTACTTTACTAACAAAAACAAGTTAACTGCCATTAGCACTGCAGAGTTGAAACTGATTTTATTCTGCATCAAATCATTATCTGAAATCAGCTTGCAAAATTTTTACTGGTGATGATGTATGAAGGCAAAAACCAGCTGTACTTTCCAATCTGAGGTGCACTTTACCATACTGGCCGCTTGAATTCTAAAAAAATTTCTTAGAGCACTGAGCACATAGTCCATGCTTTACAAGACATGACAGGAGAGTAGGATTTGTTAGTGGAGAAAATGGGGCAGTGGTAAGGGTAATGGTAGCAATTAGAGCTGTGATGTAGGCTTGGATGGAATTGTGCAGTGTTCTGAAGGACATGACAAAGAGCTTGGACTTAACACACAGTGACCTACAGGAAGCCAGTTAAATGAATAAAAAAGTTTTTGACAAGTAAACTGACTAAAGTGTGGTGTGGAAGTCAAGAGACTAAACGGAGAACCTGTTAGGTAAACATTATTGTAATTGTGGGTCTAAGCCCTGTGATAATCAAAGAGTAGAATTATTATAGAAGTCATTAGGAAAGCAAAAGGTAGAACTCTGATATTCTGCATTTGGAGAGAATAAGGGGCTGGTTTGGAAAGTCCAGCCATTTCTATACAAGGATAAGAGACAAAAACAGAAAAACCTCAAAAGAACCCTAAATCAGTTTCCCATGTAAAAAAAGTTTAACCAAACTTATGACAGAGCTGAACAGCTTACATTTGAGAGATTAAATTTGGTCTCTACCATATTTGGTTAAAAAAAATTGACTTTTATTGAATTAAGTTGTGCCCAAACTAAAAGTTACATGCAAAAGACACATTAAGTCTGAAGTTAAACTCTTCAGGCAAGATAATCCTGCACATATAAAAACTGTGCTTTGCAAGTCATGTATGTAAGAGATAGTGATTCTGTCTCCTAGTTCTGCCTCTTAGCCAGGGCCTCCTGCTCCCTGCCAAGTCCTACTATTCTCCTCCAAAACTGCCATTTTTTAATGCTGGCATTAAATGACATGTGTGAAGTAACTTTCCCAATCTCTCAAGCTTTGCATCATAGAATGTACTGAAGCCTCCAGAGCCTAGGAAATTTGAAATATGATTGGTGAGCTGGTGTCAAGGCATTTCTTCAGCCTTCTGCTTCCAGATTAGGGAGCATCTCCCAGAGACCAAACTTGGGAAGTAGACAGCAAACTCACACAGTTGATGGGGGTATCTTGTCTTCACACCAGTTCTTGAAAGTGCTATACTAGTACTTCTAGTAAGCACATACACAAATGGTGCTGTTAGGAGCACATGCTTCCTAGAAGCATAGGAATGTTTCCTGTGAGTACTACATCAGTGCTTGCATAAAGGGGTCATTCATGCGGTTGAGTTAGCTTTCTCTCTTCCACCCATTTTTCTTTACATGAGTCCTTGGGAAATTACATACGACCCCTGGGTCATTGAGTTCAATCTCCTGCTACTGCAAGCAACAGAGGTAGGATTAAAAATCCTAAAGGTTAGATCCAAACAATCAGGACCTGCAAGAGTTGAGGTTTCTCTAGCAACGTTAAGTCATTACGCACACAGTATTTTCTATTCCTGTTTACCTTGCTAAATGGATAGACATACATTACTGTTTGTCTTTAAATGTCTGGCAGAAAATATACAGAAGGCGCAGCATGGCGGAGTTAATGTTGCTGTTGGAAAGTTACCCGTTGCATTTGCTGACCTCTGACTTTAAACTGTGAATGTCAATGTTTCATTAACTGTGGGGGTTTTGCATTTTATTAAAATAACTTGTAAAATTCCACTGCAATGTTCCCATTTAAATTCTCAGAATCACGAGGCCTGCTGGAAACTGCCTTTCTGGCCACAAGAGCCTCCATAGGTTTTTCTACATTCTGTAGAGCCAAAATGGGATTGTATAGGAGTGCAAAGTGCATCTCATTGCTTCAGCAGGTCACCACCTGGTTCAAGTCTATAGCTCATCTCTAACGCATTAGTTTAACAATAAATTTTAATAGAGGCATTTACCAGGTATTTTTAAACTGGTCTGACTCTTGAAAGTGGTGAGAGCTCTCCCTCAACTTCTCTGCAACCGCTTTACCACCACTACCCACAGGTACTTAAAGCAAGAACAGAAGACTCCACTGTTATTAAGATCTTAGTTCCAAATTTAAAAAAAAATTTGAGGGACCCCTATGAACCTTCAGGCCCCATTGCAGGATATGGGGAAGTACGCTACAATGGAGCCATAAAGGAAAAGAATAATTTCACAAGATTCTTCTTCCCTCGACCACAGCTGCCTTTTTTCCCCACGTCCACAAAGTCTGTGCATTCTATTTACAGCAAGAGAAAGTAAGTGTTTTAGACGGACAGGAGCCAGAGAGGAGCCTCAATTTCATTTTGGCAGACTCTGTGGCTCCACGCCACAAAATGTGATTTACTTTCTTCCCTCCCGCGCATTTTTGCAGGAAGATTGCATATGGGCTTGAATGGTTAGCTACTAAGGAAATAAGAAAACTTTAAAAACTGCATCCAATGAAGTGAGCTGTAGCTCACGAAAGCTTATGCTCAAATAAATTGGTCAGTCTCTAAGGTGCCACAAATCCTCCTTTTCTTTTTGCGGATACAGACTAACATGGCTGCTACTCTGAAACCTTTAAAAACTATGTTCTTTAAAGTCTAATGAAAAATTACAGCACTAGTTCATGCTCTCAAAGCACTTCACATTAGGACTAGAATGTAAACCTAGTGCCATTGGATAGGATTACTAACAGCAAAGTTAATATCAAACGACTGATGAATAAATTCTGACCCTAGGCGCACAAAGCTTCCGTTGACTCCAATGAGTGCATCTAAATGCAGGTTATCACCAACACGTCCCAAATGAAAATTATGGTTATTTTAGATCCCACCCAGCTAGTCTGACCAGGCTCAGTTACGAAGAAGAAAATTCTGATGATTAACGTTTCCTCAAATCTGAAACCTTAGAGGATCTACAAATAAAGTAGTAATGAGATCTGAATAGCCATTTAAAAGTTTACTTACTAAATGCTTCTTCTGTGAGATCCTCACTAAGACCGTCTGCAGTTGTAACTGTTCCTCCAATCCCTTTCTCTCCTTTCATTGCCTTTAATGAAATACAGAAAATGTTTGCATTATAATAGTTACCTTAGATTGCTCATGATCCTAGTTTCCTAAAATGGGAACTTTTACAGCTGCTAACAGAGCCTGTATGCAGCAAGGAGAAGTGTGACACTAACATCCAAGGACTGCAATGATAATGTTTCTTTAAAACACACACAGTATGTGAGCAAAGTATAAAGACTGCACTTTTATAGGAGATCCTTCAAATTCTGCAGAAGTAAGAGTTCTGTGGTAACTCACAAGAAATAGTTAGGTCTACCTTTTGTACCTATAATCCACTGCAGAATTCCAGGAATACTAAAAATGTGGCAAACATATGTTGGTTACATAAGCTTATTGGTTGCATTTTATACATGGATATATACACTTTCTAGTACGGTTCTTGGGATATGAAGTGGGAAAGAGAAGATGCAGTGTGGGTTGTTCCACTAATTTGTATGCTATAGCTTTAATGCCTTTTCTAATAGCTTTGGGAAGTAATTATGTACAGTGCCAATATCATACAATAGGAAGGTCACATTTAAACCCAAGATAATGAATTTCTTCCCCATAGTATCCAATATAACCAGAACCTGGGGTCAGCATGATGAGTTAAGGCACCCAATGAACTGTGTGCTGTTTCATCAGCCAAGCTTTTTGTGAAAACATCAAGGCAAGTACTAACGTAATGACAAACTGTCCATACATTTAAGAAAAAAAAGTTGAAGCCATTTCCTTTGTATAGTACTCTGAAGACAAGACTGGGAACATCATTTATAGCAGACAGGCAAAACCAGAGCCAACAAATCCAGATATTAAATGCTAGCTCCATTAGCCTATTGACACAGTTGGTAGTGTAACCTATGTCACTGTAAAGAAAAGGTACGTTTGAAACCAAATGGGCTTAAACATTTTCTGAAGAGCTACTGCAACATACAAGCTGCAATTTGCCGTCTTTGATGCAAGCTAGCCTAGCATTCAGACACTGCTACATGAACACAGGGAAGACGGTTAGAGTATAGGGTGTTCTATGTACGGCGTGGGTGTGCGGGAAGAATGGAGGGATGTTGAGGAGGGGAGAAGCAGCTTATTAGCTGAAAGTTCCTATAACTTGTTTGGATAGACTCAGTTCTTGAGTCAACATCTCATGCCACTGTCTCATAGTGAAACTCCGACTCTTTGGCATAAATTGCCACAGAGGGATGGTGGGTGAAGGAATAGAATATACATTAATCTCTTCAGCCCCCCAAAGTGGAAAAAAGCAGAGGACAGCTCTATTTTGCATGAAATGAAGGTTGCTGGAAGGAAGGAAGAAAGTTCATGCTAAATTCTGAGAAGACTAGAGGATATGCTAAATCTTGAAGTATCTTCTGCAATAAGAAATGCAAATGTTAATGCCAAAACAGGGTATTGGAAAGTACTTGACAACCAAAGCAAAATATGCTCAAACAAGCATGTAGCTGACAAGTTTTCATGTCACCAAAGTAATGTGTTAAAAATATACCTTTCCCCTTCGCAGATTAGAAATGCAATCTGATAGAATGTAGTGGGCTGGCTCCTCAGCTGGTGTGAGTAAGTGTAGCTGCATTGAATGTCGCTGAGGATCTGGCTGAGTTCTTAACAGGAGCACAAAAACTAATTTTTACCATAATGTTAGAAAGGTTCTTCAAAAACATCAGTTGGACAATTTAGCTACTTTGGAACAGCAAATTTGCCAATACTCTTAATTATGTTTTTAAGTGTTTTTTAATCCCATGTCATGTTCTATTCTGATGTAGACATGGATGTTACATCAGTCACTGGATAGTAGATTCTGGGGTACGGTGCAAATGAACCATTTTCAGCTGTATATGGAGATAATAAAAAAGAGCCAACACTGAACACAGTAAGTTTGTCTAAACCTGTGTGGAAAGATAGGCTACCAACCTCTCTGAATTTTTGGAGATACAGCTTCAAAGGTTCAACATAACTATCAAATCCCAAGGTAGACATGGCAAAGAGAATATCCTCTCCATTGATAGTCTTTCGTTTCTCTTGATGACACCTCTCACTTGCTTCAGATGTTATAAAGCTGATGAATTCACTTACACACTCTTGCACACACTCCTTTGCATCTTTAGCAATCTGGTAAGAAAAACCATTACTAAAGTCACCTGAAGTTTGCTTAAGCTTCACTGTGTTAATAAACTGCAAATTAAAGTTCTACTTACTAAGCCTGTTCCCAAAGCTCAGTTCAGAGATCTGATCCTGAAAGGTGCCGGCCAGCCACAACTTCCCTTGACTTCACTGGAAGTTAGAGGTGCTGAGCCCCTCTCAGGATCAGGCTTGTGGGTTAAAGCCCTTAGGCCCACTAGTTCGGAGAGTCTTGCAACATTACACTAAAAACTTGTAGAACCCCAACTCTTAGTACGGGAATAATAAACTAGAAGATATGGGGATGTCCCCACAATAATTATCCATAAGTAATATGCATATATGAACAAAACTAGTGTGCATATGCAAAACAGTCACTGGATGTCACTGCTGTTCCAGGTAAAATGCAGATAAAATAGCATTTTAAATAAACTAAGACTATTATGTTACTATTTCAGGTGACACTGCAGACCTCTACAATTTCTGTAATATTTCACAGCTGCATTTTGTACGAGCTGTTACATATGCACACAGTTTAGAGACATTAGTGGGTTGCATGCTTCCCTTTCTTCTCTTTGGACACAAGCCATTATATTCACAGTCAGATCTGAATTCATAAGTTGTAAGTGTAAGTGAACCTCATGGTACTATAACCTTCTGGAAATGGAAACTAAGAAAGGTACGAAATTGGAGTCATCAGGATGAATCTGACTGGACAGCACTTTATAATGTCTTGTGGGACAAAGCAGCTTCATGAATTTCTATTCTCCTTTAATTTGCTCAATCTGCTATGGAGCCTGTATCTCAGGCCTTCCAGAACTAAATTTCTGCAGCTCAGCCAGGGATATTTTATCCTAATCAGATTCATAACTAGTGCTTACTCGGTTTGCCCAGCAGTGGTTTTTAATATTCTAAGTTTTCTAAACAAGCATTCAAGTGAATAAACAGATGTGCTCCTGCCAAGAATAAATTAGGTGAGTTAAATTAAAGTTTTTAGCCCATTAAAAATAAATTAGGTGATTTAGAATAGCAGAGGGGTGCTACAGCTGAGTATTTTAGGAAAGTAAATAAACAGGAATCCACTGAAGCATTATCCTTATTTGATGCTTGTTCATATGTGACAAATCTATTCCAGTTGGAATATGAAGAAGGAACCTTTGTATCTCAGAGTAATAGCAATCTTTATTCAGAACCCCATATTCTCTCAGACATAATTTTCAAGCATCCAGACACTTAGGGGTAGCAGCTCCCATTGTGATATTTGTGGCCAGATTTTCAAGACAACTTAGCACCCAATGTGCCAACTTCTTTGGAAAACCTGACCTCAATTGTGGGTGCTGAGCACTTTTGAAAATCTGGTGTAAAGAAAAGATTAATGAATCTAACAATCCTACACTGAAACACTCAGGGGTTTTGAAAGCATCCATGACTGCCATGGCTTGCCTATGTCAGGTTATATTTTAATGTCTTGCTAGCTGTCTGATTATTTTGTAAGCTGTACTCCAAATCCTATGTAATATTAGAGAGGATTTAGATGACAATGACTGTTTGGTTAAGATAAGTAGCTTAGAGGGTTCCAATACTTAATCAAATCTCAAGTCTGCAGAAGTGGAGTACAAGTCTCATGAGAACAAGCTCTCACAAGCCTTCTCATAACTTGTACTTCTAGTAAGGCCAGAAATTAAAGCCATTAGAACAGCCTATTTTATGGCATTTTGGCGTCTTGCTTCTGGAAATACAGAAGTTCAAAGATGAATAACTAGATTTTTTCCTCAGATGATGGAGAAGGAAGTTCTTATTTCATCCAAACTGGCTCACTCATTCCAATTTCCCTGCACTCCAATCCAAAAACGTAAAAAGAAGAAGAAGAAATCTCTTTCCTACAAGTTTAACAGTTGTCAATATTTGATTGCCACCATGCCTGATAACTTTTATGAGTGAATGTCTGGTGGCTATTTTGAAAACATTCGTTGTCTACGTAAAGCATTGTAGACACTAGATAAACACAAAACCTACTTTGGACCCGGCTTTTACATTTGTCATATCAATTTAGCAATCTCATTAGCCTGTTAAGTGTGTCCACTCAGGGGTTTGCATCAGTTTAAATTGATTTAAAAACAGTTTTAGTTAAACTGCTGCAAACTTTGTGTTTAGATAAGGTCTAAGCAAGCCAGCTCAAATATTAGCCTCTATTTTTGACCAAATAAGTCCGCTTTTATGTGGCAGTTATGCATAATCTGCATGTCTAGAAAAATACTACCGATCACCACAGCTACATACTCCATAATATGGATGAATAAATAAGTAGTTTATATTTTTTATGAAAAGAGCAGTTTAATCTTTTAATTGTTGGATTCCTGTAACTCAAATATAGTTCAAAATAAATTTTGGGAAAACCTGGCCAAAAAAAATTGCTCTCAAAGAGCAAGCATACAGTTTCAGCAACTGAAGATAGGGATGTTGTACTGGAACCCAACTTTGCCTAACCGAAGAATGAATGTAATACGTGAATATGTTCTCATTAGCAGAACAGCCCTGTTGGATTTAACCATGGATATTACCTTTCCTGTCTGGGGTATGGCATTTTTCATTATCCTTGCCACATTTGCAATTGGAAGATATATATCTTGTTCTCTAAAACTCTCTTTTGAGCCATTTGTGTCTTCATGATCATTCATACTGTCCTCAGTGTCTAGCAAAATAAAGAAAAGTTAGTATTGGGTGCATTTGCCAAGCACCTTCAATCATCTTACCTGTAGTCTCCTTATTAATCCAGGACTACTAACATTCCAAACCTCTGATCAACTTCATATAGCTGCCATTAAAAAAAGCTTGCCAAAGAAGTGCCCCTTCTTATCATCCCCTAAATGTAAAATTTCAAACCCCACCCGCAACAGCAAAAGAAAATGATACTGGTCTGAAATAAACCTCACTGAATAGTGCCAGTCGTCTAAGATTTAACAACAAGGGTGGAAATGGGAGATTCCCAACTTCCAAGTGAGTACTACACTTGCTTACAGCCCTGGAAGGCCCAGAGTTGTTAAAAATTAACACATGCGCCCATGACATTGTGGTGCCTAGGAAAGTTGTTTTCTATCACACCTCACCAATATGTATTCTTTTTATATATTACAATATTGGATGTGTCCATGTGTACTTCCCGACACCAGTTTCACAAATATTAAGATTTAATTTGTTTATTGAACAATGTTATAAATTTATTTATTTATTTTTAAAAAAGAGACATTCCTCTTCCAGCAAAGAGGCAAGCAACATCCTTTGATATTTAACACACACCACCCCATTACAGGTCAACATAGAGCATATTAGTGTGGATTACTTCTTTTTCCCAGAACACTAGATAGCATCGGAGCCCCTTTGAAAGCAAACACTGAAAGTTGCAAACCCATTTTCAAATTGATCAAAACTGAATTGTATGCAGGGAGTCATTATGAATGCAGATAAATATCAATTCTTAGCTTCATGAATGATGGAAAATTAGTGGAAGAGCTAGACAAGAAGGTACAGGATATAGCATAATACTATTAAGTATGATAAAGTAAGACAAACTTCCACTTTAACTGGTAGGTTTCTTACCATCATGAGGCTGTATTACAAAGTGACTACCACCAATGTACTCTCCAGCAATTCCTAACTGAGAAGCATCTGTTGTAGAACTGTCACCATCCATCTATAACAAAACAAAACAAAATCATGCACTCCAGTATACCACAAATGCTACTGCTTAGCAGTAGATTCATTTAAGTTACCTTGAAAGTAAGGGGCCAAATTCAGCTAGCATAAACAATCACCTTCCTATTAAAAACAGTGTCCATTGCTCTTCAGTTAAGGTTGAATTTGACCTGAGATGCTTTGGCTTCAGTAGCTCCTTCACATTTAAATTTATAGGAAGGTACTTTTAGCGTAATACAGTACTGTTCATGAAAAATATTAGACCAAGGAAACATCCTTTATCATTCAAAGGGTTGCTTAATGTAGTCTATGAAAATGAAAGCTAACAATCCCTCTCTCCAGTCCCCATACAGGCAGAAAACAAGCCACAACACTCTCTCAGATTACAACCGGAGACTGTATATTCTCTTTTTAGATTATTAAGCAAAACACAGGCAGCCACAGGTTAAACTACAAGACCATGCTAAAAAGCTGAGTGTTTAAAAATAATTACACTGTTTATTTTGAAAAGTAACCAGGTGTGCTCTTATAAAAGAGTAGTATTTATGTCAATATAATTTTACATTTAGGTAGTGAGCCTTATATTAGTAGCCTCAGACTACCCATAACCCCATTTTCAATTGGTTATAACTTTTAAACTTTTAACTGCATGGGCTGAAGTTTTCCATGTTTGGCCTCTGCCTCAAACTGAGTTTCTGGAAGAAAGCTTCAGCAAAAACTCTGCAACCATTTGAGAATGAGAATAGGGAAACATAGGTAATTTTGCCAATTTTTAAAAAGAAATTCTAAAGCAGTGGTTCTTGATCCTTTGAGCTCAGGACCCATTTGTAAATCTTTATGGCCTGTCATGACCCAGTAAATAGTTTTAGTGCAAAAAACAAATGTTTTAGTAAGCCAGATCTTACCTACAATATATAGTATACATATTAAGTACAAAATAAGTACACTGTGTATACCACAGCAGTAGCTCCTGTCCTGCAGAGCTATCTGGGCTCAGCTCCCTACTCTGGGCATTGCAATCTCTGAGGTTGCAGTGCTATTCAGGTCTAGCCAGGCCAAATTTGTGAATGGTGCAAAGGATCACAGCACCACTTGCTCAAATTTGGCCTGGCTGGCCAGTCACCGTGGTGGAGGGACAGCTGGGTCAAACCTGAGAGATGCTGTGGCCCTGCATACGAGGTAGCAACATTCAACGCTAGGTCCTGAGCTCAGCTGGCCCCGCAAGCGCGGAGCTGTAGGATGCACCCCTACAGGGTAAGAGCAGTGCAAAAATCTGCAACTGCCTAGCCCACCACCTCCCAAACACTTCCTAACCCCAGAAGCAGGACCTGGCCCCCTCGCCATCCTTTGACACATACTGGCAACCCGGTTTTGGGCTGCAAACAACTGGTTGAGAAACCCTGTAAAAGCCTCATTGGTTAGGAGCAAGAACTCAAAATCTGACTGGGAGTTAGTCCTGGGGCTTCAGAGGTGCCTTTTGCTGTCCCCATGAAAATAGGTCCAGATTTGGCCAAGTCACACTGAAAATTGCCATTTGCTTATAATTTTCTGGATGTTCTGTCTGCACTATGTATGCTTCTTGGTCAATGACCCTCTGGCTTAATTCTGAAGCAGGCACACAGACCAGCAGCTCTGGGTTGTATGCAGACCAAATGGTTTCACCTCAATTTCTGTCATGAGCTTACCAAAAAAAGTAATTGAAATTTCTGCAAATTCAGAAGCATCTTTCATTCTGTTTGTTGTAATGGTTTGATTTTTCTGCAGAACTATTTTTAAATTGATTTTTTGATGATTTTTCAATGGGGGGGGGGAACCCATCATGCAATTAAACTTTGCCTGGGCAACACTAGTGATTCCCTCCCCTCTTCCCCCCAGAGACAACATGCCAAAACTGAAAAAAAGATTTCTCAAAAACAAACAAAATCTTTTCACTTAAAGTTTCCATCAGAAGCTTTTTTAAAAAGTGGAACGTTTTGAAAGTTTTTTTCATGAAAATATGCTCTTTGCATAAAAGGCTGAATTTCAATAAAAAAATTTATTTGAAAAATATCAAGCAACTCTGGCTGTTAGTATGTGCTAGCAGCCATGATAGTAAGATTACATCTGTAATATGACTTACACTGCAAAAAATGTAGGGTAATTTTAATCAGTATTAATAAAACGTATGAAATTCTAAAATTTAATTTGGCATTATTTCAAGAAATCCACTTTAGTAGAGTGCACAAGTGGTCAATTGAGTAACATTATTATTATACTAGGACTTCTCCATTGCTTTCATAGTAGGGAAGCGGCAACACTCATCTCTCATTACTCTGTTATTGAGGAATAGCGGAGTTCAAGGCAACCATTTTAGATAAAGTGTGATAGCAGCAATAGAGTCTATCATATTCACTTAAAAATTAATTCCAGTTATTTAATGTTCAGCAAGACACATGCTGTATCACCATTTCCATATCTGGGAATTAAAGTAAATGTTTCCTACCTTCAGGAGTTGAATTAATCTTGTTTACTGTGGTTTTGTGTGTTGTTTCTTGTTTAAACTTACATAGTCATTGGCTAACAAAACCCCAACTAGTCACATCTGGATTTCTCCTTAATGAGAGAATAAAAAGCAGTCTTACACCTGATCCTACAAAGGAATCCACCTCATGGATCTTTACGACCACAGAAAGGGTTTTCTTCAAGAACATAGTCTATACCAGATTGAGTACCCATTTTACTGCAACCACCAGCAATATTGCAGATACTTGGTTGCTATCACTAGTGTGAGTTATCAGAATGAAAATGCTTGAGACCTGTCTACATCAGCAGCTTAGAAGAGGTCAAACTGCACCAGTGTTGGCTGTTACAGTAACAGGGGTGCTAGTATATCTGCTGTGGATGAATCCAAGGTGAACTGAAGAAGCAACCTTGTAACTATGTTGATAGGAATTACAAGATTAATAACGTTGCTAGTTTAACCACATGAACCTGGCCTAGTCCCCCTCTCTGGGCAGACAACATTCTGTTGTGAGTGAACACAACTACTGGATACCACATGTTTCTAAGCCCTTTGGGTCTGGACAGTGACTGGTCACTATTCCTAGCCCTGGGTCTTTAGACATTCCAAGGTGAAGATACTTGTCTGACACCTCCCTTGGGCACTTGGCCCCCACAGTCCAGTCACCTCACACTCCAGCCCACCTAAGCCTCAAGTGCTTATATATGCTCCCTCAGAGTTCCACGACACTGTGTTAACCGTTTCCAAGACAATGTGGCAGGCAAGCAAGGAATACGGGCTTAGTAAAGGAATTTTTTAACCGCAGACACTTTACTCTTAAAAATCACTTGAGTTACAGATCTCTGAAAAATAACAGTCCTGAACACATTCTCCTCATCCCTGATCTCATCCCTCCTGCGACTCCTGGGTTTGATCAGCATCCTTAGGCTGAGCAGCCCTTCTTGCCTCTTCTCTCCTTAGCCTGGTCTTCTTGAGTGTGGCATTAATCTGACATCCCCCACCCCTTTCACAGAGCGCATTCCCTCTTGGCCAAAGGGTTCAGAGACTTTATTCATGTGTCTAGGTTGAGGATCATCAGCTACTTTTCCAGCTCGGCTTCTGTGCAGAGTTCATTGGTCTTCTGGATGGGCTGGTTGTTGAAGATTGCTCTGTGCCCTCTTCACAGACAGTCATTCAATTTGTGTCAAGCCAGTACTACCAATATTGATGCTCTAGTCCACAAAGGAGGATGCAATACCACATGAAGGTCACACTCCAAAGTGAAGGTAGCAATAAAAAGTGGAGTCCCTGAAAAGTGGCAATCACACAAAACAAGATGGAGTTTACGATGACAGACTCTCTTCTCCTCCCCGTCCCCCCATCTGCACTGGGGAATTTTAGGGGAACCCCCCCACACCTTACTCTTGCTTCCACCTGTATGACCCCACTTGTGATAACAATGATGCAAGCATTCATACAGAGTGCACTAGACAGCCATCAGCATTTGAGGCAGTGTTGCCTAACCCTGCTCAGAACAAGTCTATTGGACACAGTGGGTAAAATGTCAGTGCCTATATGAGTGATTTTACTGATTATATGATTGGTACAACTGACTTTTGGTGGGGGGGGGGGGGGGGGAGGAATTTCTGGGAAAAAATGCAAGCACAGATAAGACCCAAGAAGAGAATTTATTCCATTGTTGGAACTGGTGGAATCTGGTCTTTTAAATTAGATGTTCTACCCAAAAACATCAAGAGTGCTCCTCATAGTCTTCTCACTTCAACAGAAAAATGAAAAAGAATATTCCTTATTCATGGATGAACTTTTATGCTTATGGTCTTGTATCTTCATTTTTATAAGAGTTAGATTAACAGCAGACATAGGCTCTGGAATTTTCCCTCATAGTTCAACTGGGACTTTCATTATCCTGTCTTAATCCAATCCCAAACCCTTCCGGAGTAAACACTATTTGTTCCATGGTTTTGAGGTGTAGAGGGAAAGAAATAAACTAAATTTCAATTGTTGCTTAAGCCATCTGGAGCCAGGTATCAAGAGCCAGGTATCAAGAGAAGAGATACCACACTAACATGACACCCTACTAATGTTTCTTTAGGTTCTGTTTCTGGTATTAACATGAGCCTGTTTAAAGATAGCTGTTACTAACAGTTCTGTCACAGTGAACAGTCATAATAAAATACTGGAGTTTTAAATTCAGACTTGTTTAAAATTAACATTTACAATAATCTGTCATGGGGGTTAAGATCACCATAAGTGTGTACTTAACATGCTCAAAGTCAGCTCAGTACAAGGCTCATACCCTATATAGCATGACCTGATTTATGCAACAATAAAGCACTGCAGTATACAGCTATGTTAACTGGCTACAAAATAATTCAAAAGCATCCAGTTTTAAACTGAAATTATTCTAAAAATGCACCAAAGTTCAATGTACCAGAGAAATACCCCCAGCATACAGTAATCTGACTCACTGACAAAGTGTTGGGGAGAAGGGCAGTGAG